TGGGGCCTGAACTCTGGGCCTGGGTGCTGTCCCTCAGCTCTTCAGCTCAAGGCTAGCACTCTACCACTTGAGCCACAGCGCCACTTACGGCTTTTTTCTTATGTGGTGCTGAGGAATCGAACCCGGGGCCTCAGGCATGCAAGGCAAGCGCTCTACCACTGAGCCAACTTCCCAGCCCCCAAAGTGTTAGTCTTGAGCAAAAGCAGCTCAGGGACAGTGCCCAGGCCCTGAGTTCAAGCCCCAAACTGGCAAGAAAATCTAAAATACATTTTCATGTTTGTCACTATTAATAGGATCACCTGAAGATTTTTTTTGAGCTTACTATTTGTGTGTGTGTGTTGTATATGCTGTAACTGGGCTTGAACTCAGTGCTTGGGCCTTGTCCCTGAGCGTTTTTGCTCAGGGCTACTGCTCTATCTCTTGAGCCACAGTTCCACTTCTGGCTTTTTGGTAGTTAGTTGAAGGTAAGAGTCTCATGAACTTCCTTGCCCAGGTTGGCCTGAAACTTAGATCTTCAGACGTCAGCCTCCTGAGTAGCTAGGATTACAGGCACTACAACATTACAATATTACAAGTTTGATTCTTGACAAAAAGCGTTTTTGTGTTTTTATTTTATTAGAGAAATAATCACAGGTCAAATGACCACTTTGAGAAGTCCTCCTTCCTTGGACCTCTGTGATGCATTCACCTAGCAACCGTTTCTTCAGTGTGCAAACATTCCACTGGCAAACTTTACAGGACGACCATTCGTAGTGGAGTTCTGGTGTCTTCTGGGAACTGATCTTGGATTTAAAGTTTTCTCTTTTTCTTAACGTGGTAAAAATTTATGGTTTTTACTTTCTACTAAATGAAGTACAGACGCTCTCTCTATATATATAAATATGTGAGTGTGTATATATGTATATACATGGTGTGTATGTGCGCACACACACACTGAACACCCACAAGCTGAGCTTGAACTCAGGGCCTAGAGGCTGTTCCTGAGCTCTTTTGCTCAAGGCTAGTGCTCCACCATTTTGAGCCACAGCACCACTTCCACTTCTAGATTTTTGATGGTCAATTGGAGTTAAGAGTCTCATGAATTTTCATCCTCAGGCTGGATCTGAATCATGATCATCAGGTATCAGCTTGCTGAGTTGCTAGTATTATAGGCATGCGCCATTAACAACTGACAGCCACTGGGACTGGCAACCACTGGTACCCAGCCAGATGTTATATCTTATTAGTTTGTAAAAAGTAGAGTAGTCCAAGACAAAACCTTAAATCACAGTAATCATTTTATATTTCTGTACTTTGTTATTTTTTAGACATTTAATACACCATCATTGTATTTTCAATTAACTTGTAGTGGATTTGTGTGTGTGCTGATACTGGGGCTGGAACTCAGGGCCAAGTACCTCTCCCTTAGCTTTTGTTGCTCAAGTTTGGCACTCTACCATTTGAGCCACTTTTGGCTTTTTGCTGATAATTGGAGATAAGAATCTCACAGACTTGGGCTGGGAAGGTGGCGCAGTGGTAGAGTGCTTGCTTTGCATGCATGAGACCCTGGGTTCGATTCCTCAGCACCACATAAGCAAAAAGAAAAAAAAGCCGGAAGTGGCGCTGTGGCTCAAGTGATAGAGCACTAGCTTTGAGCTGAAGAGGCCAAGAGTTCAGGCCCCACGACCGGACCCCACCCCCAAAAGAATCTCACAGACTTTTCTGTCCAGGCTGGCTTCAAACCATGATTCTCAAATCTTAGCTTCTTAGTAACTATAATTACAGGTGTGAGCCACTAGTGCCTCACTGGGATTCTTTTCTTTCTTTCTTTCTTATTTTCTTTTTTGTGTGCTGGTACTGGGGCTTGAACTTAGGACTCAGGGCTTTGTACTTTCACTCTATTCATGTGGCACTCACATGAATCAAATTTCTAATTCCAGCTTTTTGATGCTTAATTGGAAATAAGAATCCAATTTGAGCTGCAGGCTGGTAGCTCATGCCGGAGTGCAGTTCAAAGCCAGCCTAGGAGGCTGGGAAGTTGGCTCAGTGGTAGAGTGCTTGCCTCGCCTGCAAGAGGCCCTGGGTTCTATTCCTCAGCACCACATAAGCAGAAAAAAGCCAGAAGTGGCACTGTGGCTCAAGTGGTAAGGTGCTAGCCTTGAGCTGAAGAGCTGAGGGACAACACCCAGGTCCAGAGTTCATTCCCCACCACCGACAAAAAACAAAAACAAAAAACAGCCTAGGCAGAGAAGTCCATGAGACTCCTAACTCCAATTAACTACTCAGAAAAAACTGGAAATAATACTGTGGCCCAAGAGATAGAGGGCTAACCTTGAGCAAAAGAAGCTCAACGACAGAGCCTGGCCCAGAGTTCAGGTCCCAGGACCAGCACAAAAAAAAGAAAGAGAGAGAGAGAGAGAAAGAAAAAGAAAGAAAGAAAGAAAGAAAATCAGATTTGAAGCAGGGCACTGATGGTTTATGCCTATAATCCTAGCTACTCAGGAGGCTGAAATCTAAGAATTATGGTTGGAAGTCAGCCAAGGAAGGAATATCCATGAGACTCTTATCTCCAGTTAACCATCAAAAAGCCAGAAGTGGAGCTGTAGCTCAAGTAGTGGAGCACTAGTGGAGCACTAGCCTTGAGCAAAAAGCTCAGGGACAGTGCCCAGGTCCTGAGTTCAAGCCCCAGGATGTATAAAATGGTAAGATAATAAGAAATTAAAGGATGGAAATCTCAAGAACTTTGTTCTAGGTATTATCATTCTAGGACTAAAAAGCTATTTCTTTTCACCTAACCAGAACATTTCTGGTCTTGAGTCTTGAACTCTGGGCCTGGGTGCTGTTCCTGAGCTTTTATGCTCAAAGCTAGTGCTCTACCAGTAAAGCCACAGTTCCACTTCCATCTTTGTTTGGTAGTTTAGTGGAGATAAGAGTCTCACAGACTTTCTTGCTCTTGCTGGCTTTGAACTGTGATCTTCAGATCTCAGCCACCTGAGTAGCTAGGATTATAGGCATGAACCACTAGGACCCCCACCAGCACCCAGCTTTCTTGGTTATTATAAAAGGAACTGAGTCAGTAATCATCTTAAGTGTTCAATAATAGAAAGGGAGAAACTAAAATCTTATGAACGATATTTATACTTTGGAAGTTGCCCCTACATTCAACAAATCTAGAATGAATTAATAGATGCATTTTATGCAGATTTCAAGGTTAAGGAAGAAAGACAAGTCTTTATGTTTTCTGTTCATTGACCCTCAAGTCACATGATCCTTATTATTTTCTTCTCCGGTGCAAATTCATTTCATCCTAGAACTGTCCATCTTTCTGACTCAGCAAAAGAAACACACAGCCCATTTACATAAAGTCCTTCCTGTGCAGTTTCTACATGTCATATTCATAATACATTCCCGTATTACTTTTTTTTAATAAGTTTTTTTTATTGTGAAAAGACCATACAGAGGGGTTACAATTACACGAACAAGTTAGTAAGTACATTTCTTACCAAGCATTGTTGCCTCCTCCTTTGTTTTTCCCCTCCCATCTCTGCCCTCTCATTTCCATGACTACACTCCCTGCCCCCCCCACCCCATATTACTTTATTTCCAAGAATATATTCCCTAATTAAAAAAAAAACACAGAAAAAAAAAAGAGAGCAGGTGCTGGTGCTTACCAATGTAATCCTAACTACTTAGAAGGCTGAGATTTGAGGATTGTGGTTCGAACCCAGGCTGGCAGAAAAGTCCCCATGAGACTTTTATCTCCAATTAACCACTCAAACACTGGAAGCAGAATTATAGCTCAAAGTGGAAGAGAGCTAGCCTTGAATAAAAGAACTCAGGGACAGCACCCAGGCCCTGAGTTCAAGCCCCACAACTGCCAAAAAAAAAAAAAGAAATTCCTATCCTATTGCATAATAAAACATAGACATTAATCTAGAAATGCCTTTCCTCTTTTTTTTTTAAATCTTTTACTTTAGAAAAAGGAAGATAATATATAGACTTGAACTGAATGGGGAAAATGGGATTTAAGGCAATACTGAAATTTGTGATATTTACAAAAATTTTAGTGGAAGGGAAGATGTGACATTGTCCAAAAAGAAATGTACTTATGCCAGGCACCAGTGTTGCTGTGGCTCAAGTGGTAGAGTGTTAGCTTTAAACAAAGAAGTTCAGGGACAGTACCCAGGCCTGAGTTCAACCCCCAGGACTGACAAAAGAGAGAGAGAGAGAGAAAGAAGCCCCAGCACTAGCATACACACACACACACACACACATACACACACACACAATTTTTTTTTCCGCTTATGTGGTGCTGAGGAATCAAACCCAGGGCCTCATGCATGCAAGGCAAGCACCCTACCACTGAGCCACCTTCCCAGCCCTACATTTTTCTTTTCTTTTCCCCTGGCTGTAAGCACTAAGAACCATCACATTCTTCTGTTGGACTTTTTTTTTTCCCATGTTTGACTTTTATCATTTGGTTGTTTCTAATGAGATATAGTTACATTTCTGATGAGAAACTGAAAATGAGGGAAATGTACAAATCATATGTCTAAAGATATGATTCACAAATAGCATTTAAAATTATATTGCCAGACACTGGTGGTTCATGCCTATAATCCTAGCTACTCAGGAGGCTGAGATCTGAGGATCACAGTGTGAAGCCAGTCCAGGAAGAAAAGGGCATGAGACTCTTATCTCCAATTAGTCACAGAAAAAGCCAGAATTGATGCTGTGGCTCAAGAGGTGGAGTGCTAGCCTTGAGTAAAAGGAGTTCAGGGACAGTTCCCAAGCCCAGAGTTCAAGCCCTAGGACTGGCTAAAAAAAAAAATGTATTATGACATATACAAATAACATACCACTTCAACCAGTTACAATGTAAACTGTTTTGATGCTGTCATTTGTCTCCAAGCAACAGGTTCAGCAGGCAACTAACTCCTGAGGTCTAGCTAAACATTGAGTATCTGGAGGTGGAAGTTCTGGGAGACTTTGCTGTTGACACTGAATAGACTTTAGCATCTCTTCCTGTACGCTGTATGGAAACTCCCCTTGGAAGCATCATGGTCACCATTAGATGTGTTTCATGATTCTTGTGTCTCCAGCATGTCAAGCCCTCTCCAATCTTTAAACCACTCAGATTCAGGAATGGTTGCTACTGGGCAAATCAAAAGACCGAATGAGACTAAGTCATTAGAAGTCAAGAATCTATCAATCCGAAAAAATAGCCCAGCGGTGAGTTGTTCTCTGATTTTTATTTCTCCCCCAGTGTGTGATAAGTGATCTTTGGTAGCACTATTGAGAGTTGAAAGTACAGGTCTAATTGCCCATTTTCTTAGTGTCCTGATCATTTTTGTTGTTGTTATTGTTAGTGAATGATGCAAAAAGCAAGGTCAAATGATCTTCTATTTCACCTGCACTGAGGCTTGATCTCAAGCCCTGGGTGCTCTCCCTTAGCTTTTTCATTCAAGAAAAGTTTATCCCCAATTAACTACCAAAAGAAGGAAGGGGAGCAGTGGCTCATGTGGTAGAGCACTAGCCTTGAGCATGAAAGGTTAGGGGCAGCACGCAGGCCCTGAGTTCAAGCCCCAGGACCAGCGTGCATGTGCATGCGTGCGTGCGCGCGCGCACACACAGACACACACACACAAATTAATTTTGTGCATAGGAATTTATTTGTAAACAAAAACCAAAACAAATACTGGTAAATCCTCCATCAGTGACTTTCAGGTAGTTCAAGTTCCTTAAAGTTTTTATGAGATGCACATAAAAATTTCCCATATTTTACATATTTTCTTTATTTTTGTACTCTAAGAAATTAAATCTCTACAATCTAGATGTGCTACATTTACTTATGACTAGTACTATAAATTGTTGGGCAAGTATGTTTTAGAAAACTGAGTTCTGCTGACAGTTCATGCTTGTAATCCGAGCCATTCAGGAGGCTAACATCTGAGGATCTTCGCTTGAAGCCAGCCCACGAAGAATAGTCCATATGACTCTTTTTGTTTGTTTGTGTCAGTCGTGGACTTGAACTCTGGGCCTGGGCGCTGTCCCTGAGCTCTTCAGTTCAAAGCTAGCACTCTACTTCTTGAGCCACAGCACCACTTCCAGCTTTTTCGGTTTATCTGGTGCTGAGGAATCAAACCCAGGGCCTCATACATGTGAGGTAAGCACTCTACCACTGAGCCACCTACACAGCCCTCCATATGACTCTTATCTCGTTAACCAGCAAAAAGCCAGAAGTGGAGGTATGGCTCAAGTAGTAGAGGACCATCCTTTAGTGAAAAAGCTGAGACAGAGCCCAGCTCCTAGTACTGGCACCAGAAAAAGGAAAGAAAGAAAGAAAACTTAAAAGAAGTTTTTTAAGTCAGCATGTTACTTTTTTCTCCCTTGAACTTAACTTCAAAATGAATATTTTAAAGGTATGTTCTACTTAAAACTATCCCCCCTTTTTATTAGCCTATTTCAATCATAGAAGAAGGATAATTTTATTGGTACATCTCCATACATAGTAACTGCTGTATTTCAGTCACTTTCATCCCCCTATCACATTTCCTTTACCCTTCTTTAAAACTCCTTATTTAGAGTTTGTATGGGCTGGAAAATTTGTGGTTTTGATTCACAGGTTTGAGGGGTAAGGGTGAATACAGGTTTAGTTAATTAACTGGAAGTTTCTCCTTGTAGATTTGTTTTGATCCATCTCTGAAAGTGGCTCCCACCAGGAACTCAATGATGTACACCAGAAGGGCAGCTAACCCAGCCTATACTGACCTTACTGGAGTGCTAGTAAAAAACAAGAACCTTTTAGCTGAGGTATGTGATTTTTTAGAACCACACACTGGGAAATTGTATCTTCTGTAAATTAGACAAACATTAGAGGCATGAGCCACTAGCACCTGGCTTAGGCCTAAGTTTTGGGGTGGGTTTTTTTTTTTTTTGCCAGTCCTGGGGCTTGGTTTCAGGGCCTAGGTTCTGTCCCTGAGCCATCTTGTGCTCAAGGCTAGTGCTACCACTTGAGCCACAGCATCACTTCCAGCCTTTTCTGTTTACGTGGTACTGAAGAATCAAACCCAGGCCTTCTAGGCAAGTACTCTACCACTAACCCACATTCCCAGCCTGCCCTAAGTATTTTTAATGGAAGGAATGAATTCCTATTTTCAATATGCTACCAAATAGCAAATAGCCATTAATTTTACCTAATTCTTGGTGAAACTTCTGTGTGGCGTCAATAGATAAAAGAAGACATAAGCTACATTTGCAGGAAATGCCTAGACTTTTACTCCCTATGATGAAGACTGGAGTGTTCTCTAGAAATTCTTCAGTTGAGTCTGTTCTCTGGATTTATCACAAGAGGCAGACATACAGGTATCTCTGGTTGGAAGCTTAAAGGCCTTTGTAATTGTTAGGGTACTATGATGTAGCTGTTCATGTCTGTACTACCTACCTCTATTATTACCTTTAAGCAAATGGCTCAGAATACTTAGGTTTGTGGGCTAGCCCTTTGAGTAAGTGGCATGAGCCACCAGCACATGGCTCATGAGATTCTTTTTTTTTTTTTTTTGTCAGTCATGGGTCTAAACTATGGGCCTGGGCGCTGTCCCTCAGGTCTTCAGCTCAAAGTTAGCACTCTACCACTTGATCCACAGTGCCACTTCTGGCTTTTTCTGCTTATGTGGTGCTGAGGAATTGAACCCAGGGCCTCATGCATGTAAGGCAAGCACTCTACCTCTGAGCCACCTTCCCAGCCCCCGAAGAGACTCTTATCTCTTGGGCTGGGAATGTAGCTTAGTGGTAGAGTGCTTGCCTCTCATGTATGAAGCCCTGGGTTCAATTCCTCACTACCACATACACAGAAAAAGTTGGAAGGGGAACTGTGGCTCAAGTAGTAGTAGTACTAGCCATGAACAAAAGCAACTCAGGGACAGAACCTAGGCCCAGAGTTCAAGCCCCAGGACAGGGGAGAGAGAGAGGAGAGAGAGAGAGAGAGAGAGACACTCATCTCCAATTAACCCCCAAAAGGGGAAGTGGAGTTTGGCTCAAGAGGTAGTATGCCAGCCTTAAGCAAAAAAAACAAAAAAAAAAAAAAAACTAAAGGACAGCATCTAGCTTCTTCAGAGAACTTCAGCTTTGTGATTTGAAAAAAAAAATGTTCCATGGTACTGGGGATCAGATCTATAGTTTCATATATATATATATATAGAACATGTGCTTTTACCATTCCAGCCCTATTCAAAGTTTTTCAAAAGCATATGACTTTTGGGCATGGTGACAGATGCTCATAATCTTAGTCTTCAAAAGGCTGAGCAGAAAGATCAAGTTTGAGACCAGTTTGGCATCCTTAAGATTAATCTGAATATGATAGGAAATCAGAAGAGGCCAAGTGTTGTTACATGAAGCTCATCAATCAGAGGGAATAGCAGAACGAATTTGAATTACACATAAAAAAAGAGCAAAATTTGGGCAGAACAGTTGCCAACAATTTCTAAATCATCAATAGGTGGTTACTGGGTAGTATCTACAATCTCCCAAATTGGTATTTTCTATTCAGCTGCTACAACATTTGTCAAAAATGGACTTATTAATTTGTAAGTAATGATCTGGATCAACAACTATCATCCATATTCAAACTAATGCTTGAGTACTTAGAGACAGAAATCTTAGACATCCCATTGAAGAATTTGAACAACTTGACCCTCATGCATAAATTGAATTGCTCCATTGTTCTGCTGGTAATATCTACATGTGAGAGGAAAGTAACCATTGTAGAAGACCAGAAAAAAAATAATGAAGGAAGGAGAGAAAAAGGAGATAACTACTTTTTTTAAAGTCAAGGAGATAGGTACCAGTGGCTCACACCTGTAATTCTAGCTCTTCAGAAGGCTGAAATCTGAGGATCATGTTCAAAGCCAGCCCAGGCAGGAAAATCCCTGAGACACTTTTTTTTTTTTTGTCGGTCATGGGGCTTGAACTCTGGACTTGAGTGCTGTCCCTCAGCTCTTCAGCTAAAGGTGAGCACTCTACCACTTGAGTTACAATACCACTTCAGGTTTTCTGGTGGTTTATCAGAGATAAGAGTCTCTCGGACTTTCCTGCCCAGGGTGGCTTTGAACCCAGATCCTCAGATCTTAGCCTCCTGAGTATCTAGGATTATAGGCGTGAGCCACGGGTGCCTGGCCCCCAGACTCTTATCTCCAATTAACCACTAGAAAATCAGAAGTGGAGTTGTGGCTCAAAGTGGTAGAGAGCTAGCCTTGAGCAACAGAGCTCAGGGACAGTACCCAGGCCCTGCATTCACGCCCCACAACAGACAACCCAAAACAAAACAAAACAAGAACATAAAAACACAAGAAAGTCAAGGAGAACAAAATTATTAAGAGAGATGTATGGTCCTGAGGTCACTGCATAAAACAGAAGCCACACGGGCACCGGTGGCTCAAGCCTGTATTCCTAGCTACTAAGGAGGCTAAGATCATGGTGTAAAGCCAGCCCAGGCAGGAAAGTCTATGAGACTTTTTTCTTCTTCTTTTTTTTTTCCAGTCGTGGGGCCTGAACTCTGGTCCTGGGTACTGTCCCTCAGTTCTTCAGCTCAAGGCTAGTGTTCTACCATTTGAGCCACCACACCACTTCTGGCTTTTTCTGCTTATGTGGTGCTGAGGAATCGAACCCAGGGCCTCAAGCATGCAAGGCAAGCATTCTATTACTGAGCCACCTTCCCAGCCCTCTCTGTGAGACTCTTATCTCCAATTAACCACCAGAAAATCAGAAGAGGTACTGTGGCTCAACTGGTAGAGTGCTCACATTGAGCTGAAGAGCACAGGGACAGCACGCAGGCCCAAAGTTCGAGTCCCACAACTGACAACAACAACAACAGAAGCCCCTCTTGTCAAGCAGAAAATGATTTAATATAGAGAATTATGTGAACACACAATGATTACAAGGACTGTGAGGGGGAGTTAGGGCCAGCAATGAATAGATAAATGAGTTTAAGGCACACTGATGAGATTCTGCTGCCATTGAAGTCTCTATTACATAGTCACAACTGCCTCTCACCTCCATGAGGCTACTTAGAAGTGGAATGTTTGAATACAATCCTTGACCTTGCTCAGCAGCAGAAATAGCAGTAGGAAAGTGACCTTGTCCTCTTTAAGTTGTATGGCAGAGATGCAGTCCACTTTGCATATAGGCCAGTTCTCAAAGTAGTTTTCCAGATCAGCAACATTAATAAAAGTGGGATCTTTGGTAGGAATACAAATTCTCTGCCCCCCTCCCAAACTTGTAACTCTAGCCTATATGTTTTTTTAACAAGCCCTTGGGGAGCTTCTGATATATGCTAACATTTGAGAACCACTGGCACAGAGAAACCCATCCTAGGTAAGGGGATGTGTCAAACAAGTTGTATTTCTAGTTCTTCAGTTCAAGAAGGCATCATAGGGATAGCAATGGCTGCTCAGCACCAATAACCAGCAAAAAGGAATGGATAGTGGTGCCAAATGGCATGTGGTGATGCCTGAAGAGAAATAGTTGAATCTGGAATTTAGGAAGATCACTTTTTGTCAACCATTATTTACTTTTGTTGCTTTGGGGATTTTTTTTGGGGGGGGGGGGGTCGTGAGGCTTGAACTCTGCTTAGGCACTGTCCCTGGACTCTTTAGCTTAAACCTAGAGCTCTACCATTTGAGCCACAGCACCACTTCCGGTTTTCTGGTGGTTAATTGGAGATAAGAGTCTCATGGACTTTCCTGCCTGGGCTGGCTTTGAACCATGATCCTCAGATCTTAGCCTCTTGAGATAGCTAAGATTATAGGCGTGAGCCACCAGTGCCTGACTATTTTTGTGGGTTTTTGTACCAGTTCTAGGGCTTGAACTCAGAATCTCAAGGCTGACAGTCTACCACTTGAGCCACAGTTTTGCTTTGTCTGTTTGCTGCTTAATTCAAGATAACGATCTCATAGACTTCTCTGTCTGGACTGGCTTTGAACTGTGATTTTAATATTTAAGCCTCATGAGTAGCTAAGATTACAGGTGTTGGCCAACAGCATCCAGTTCCATTGATCACTTTTTTTTTCTTTTGCTGGTGTAGGGCTTGAACTCAGGACTTGGGCACTGTCCCTGAGCTTCTTTTGCTCAAGGATAGAAGGCTACCAGTTGAGCCACAGTGCCACTTCCTGCTTTTTCTGAGTAGTTTATTGGAAATAAGAATCTCTCAGACTTGGAGCTGGGAAGGTGGCTCAGTGGTAGAGCTCTTGCCTTGCATGCATGAGGCACTGGGTTCGATTCCTCAGCACCACATAAGCAAAAAGAAAAAAAAAAGCCGGAAGTGGCGCTGTGGCTCCAGTGGTAGAGCGCTAGCCTTGAGCTGAAGAGCTGAGGGACAGCGCCCAGGCCCAGAGTTCAGGCCCCACAACTGGACCCCCCAAAAAAAATTAAAAAAAAAAAAGAATCTCTCAGACTTTTCTGCATGATGGGGTGGCTTCAAACCATGATCCTCAGATCTCAGCCTCTTGAGTAGCCAGGATAACAAGCCTGAGCCACTAGTACCCGGCTTCACTGATTATTTTTGAGAGGAGAGTTTCCAGAGCTTGGCATAAGGGATGAAAAACGGAATGGCAATAAAATCAACTTATGTATGTAAGGCATGGTGGTGCATGCTGGTAGTTCCAGCCACTCAAGTCTGAGGCTAGAAAATAAAGGGTAAACACAGGTTTCAACCTGAGCTCAATTCTTCCACTTCACTTTCATGACCTGATCTGTGCCCTGTGCCACTCCAACTGCATTTCAGATAGCTTAGTTGCCTTTGCAGCTTATTGTTGTTATTATTATTATTATTATTTTAGTGTGTGTGTGTGTGTGTGCGCGCGCGGGCGCGCACGTGCTGGTACTGGGGCTTGAATTCAGGGCTCTCCTCACTTGGCTTTTTCGCTTAAGGCTGGCACTACACTTAAGCCACACCTGCACTTTGAGCTTCTCCATTTCCAGCTTCTTGCTGGTCACTCTTCTGCCTGGGCTGTCTTTGAATCTTGGTCCTAAAACCTCAGCCTCCTGAGTAGCCAGGCTTATTTTTATTTCTACTTTTTGTGAGACAAGGTCTCACTATGTAGTCCAGGCTGGCCTTAAATGCACTAGCCTCAGATGTTCAGTCTCTTAAGTGCTAGGGTTACAGGTATGCACAATCCAATATTAGCCTGCCTGCCTTCTTTTCTTTCCTTCCTTCCTTTTTTCCTTCTTTCCCTCCTTCCCTTCTTCCTCCCCTCCTCCCCTCCATCTTCTCTTTTTGCTGTGGTGCTTTATCCCTAGTCTCTCATTATTGATGTAATTTAAAGACTTAAACAATTTTAGTAGGGGTATGAATTAAGTCACTTATTCCAAACCCTGAGTGCCAATTTTATTTTATTTAAAAATGTCTTTAACATTGGGATATGCTTAAGGAATAGAGCTGAAAGCCTTTAATTTATTCTACAATAATGTATAGTTTAAATACCCATGATGAATTCACACTGTGAATATTTAAAACAAAAAAAGAAATGATTTTTTTGGGGGGGTCCGGTCGTGGGGCCTGAACTCTGGGCCTGGGCGCTATCCCTCAGCTCTTCAGCTCAAGGCTAACACTCTACCACTTGAGCCACAGCACCACTTCCGGCTTTTTTCTTTTTGCTTATGTGGTGCTGAGGAATCAAACCCAGGGCCTCTGGCATGCAAGGCAAGCACTCTACCACTGAGCCACCTTCCCAGCCCCAAGATAATAAATGATTTTAAGTAACACTTTCTGCTCCACATTAGCTAAGAAATCTTCAAAGCAAAATCTTCATAAAAGAAAGTTCACTGAAAGAAATGAAGACTGAGCTGGAAAGTTACAAAGAAAATAACGTGCAACAGTCATTACAGATAATATCCCTGAGAGATGATGTCAAGGATCTTCAGGAACTTATTTCTTCTCTAATGAGAATTAAGTGTTTGAAAAACACCAATATTAAGACTCTTGAAAGAGGCAACTGCAATCTAACTGAAAGAGTTACAGAACTAGAAAAACGTCTAAGGTAGGGAATTTGCTGGTTTGTTTTTAAGCAAGTCTTTTGTGATACATTTTAAGATAGTATATGAACTACACACTCCTAATTAATCTCAGAATTAGATCTAATAGAATTTCACTTTTAAGATTCATTTACCTTGCAGAATTAATCAATACTTTTTACCTTGCAGAATTAATCAAGTACTTTTTGTGGTTAAATAATAATGCATTGTAAGTATATGCCACGTTTTGTTTGCCCATTTATTTCATGAAGGACACCTGGGTTACTTCTAGGTTTTTTTGACTTGATTAATAATGTTGCTATGTGTATTCTTTCATAAGTTTTTATATAAACACATGTATTATTTTTCTTAGGTATTTGCTTTTGAAGTAAAATTGTTGGGTCATAGACTAACTCTATGTTTAAGCACTTGAAGTTACTTTTGAAGAATTGCCAGTTTGTACCACTCTGCATTCCCACCAGTGCATTCTTGTTATGTCTGTTTATTTAATATATATTATATAATATATAATATTATATTATTATATATAATATTATTTTATATATATATATATATATATATATATATATATATATATATATATATTGCCAGTCCTGGGGCTTGAACTTGGGCTGGGCACTGTCCCTGAGCTTCTTTTGCTCGACTAATGCTCTACTAGTTGAGCCACAACTTTTTGGTGATTAAATGGAGATTAAAAGTCTCCCAAACTTTCCTGTCCCAGTTGGCTTTGAACTTTTTTTTTTTTTTGGTCAATCATGGAGCTTGAACTCTGGACCTGAGCGGTGTCCCTCAGTCCCTCAGCTCTTCAGCTCAAGGCTAGCACTCTACCACTTGAGCCACAGTGCCACTTCTGGTCTTCTGGTGGTTTATTGGAGCTAAGAAACTCATGGACTTTCCTACCTGGGGCTAGCTTCTTCTTCTTTTTTTTTTTTTTTGTTGGTGGTGGGGCTTGAACTCTGGGCTTAGGCGCTATCCCTGCGCTCTTCAGATGAAGGCGAGTACTCTACCACTTGAGCCACAGCTTCTGGTTTTCTAGTGGTTTATTGGAGACAAGAGTCTCACAGACTTTTCTGCCCAGGCTGGCTTTGAACCATGATCCTCAGATCTCAGCCTCCTGAGTAGCTAGGATTACAGGCATGAGCCACCAGCGCCCAGCATTGGCTTCAAAGTTCCATCCTAAGATCTTAGCCTCCTGTTCCTCAGGTCTTGGCCTTTGAGTAGTGAAGATAACTGGCATGAGCCTCCAGCACCTAGCAGTATTTTTTTTTCCTTGCCAGTCCTGGGGCTTGAACTCAGGGTCTGGGCACTGTCCCTGAGCCTCTTTGTGCTCAAGGGTAATACTCTACCACTTGAGCCATAGCTCTACTCCTGGCTTTTTCTGCTTATGTGGTACTGAGGAATCTAACCCAAGGCTTCATGCATGCTAGGCAAGCACTTTATCACTGAACCACCTTCCCAGCCCTATTTTTGTTTTTGTGAGACAGGGTTTCAATGACCTTGCTGCATCTGGCTTTAAACTCACAATTACACTGCCTCTGCCTTCTGAGTAGCTGGGAATATAGACCTGTAGTACCACCCCTCTCAATATATTATAAGAGGAGGATATTTATTACTTTAAATATTCAATTAAAATTACATTGAGTTGTTTTGAGTTGGTTTCATGATGTTGTTACCTACTGATATCTTTCCTTAGAATACATCTGATTGAAAGAGGAAGAGCAGAGCGAAAGGCAGATCTTTTGGAGAAAAAGTTATTCACTTGCAGATTTCCTCCTTATATAAGTATGGAAGGACAAGAAGATTCCTTGGATATTGTTCCAGTGAGGGTGAGAATAAATTGTGAATGTTTTTGAAGAAGTGGGATTTTATCACCTCATGTTACTGACACTGTAATTCAGACACAAAGGCCCTGTCAGACAAGGTTTCTCCACCCATCCCTGTATATCTAAGAAAGAAGGAAGTGGATGAGAACAGAGAAAGGAAGTTTAATTGAACCCAGTGGGAAAACAAAGGGACTTAGTGGCCCTGAAATTGTCTGGAATTAAAAAAATAAATCTTAAATTTAACTAGGAGAAAACATGGTGATAAGAAGGTATGCATAGTTAAACTTGCCCTGGTGGAAGTCTGGCAGGATTTGATCGTAATTTCAGTCTTTGTCTCTGGGCTAATTTTGGAGCAGTTCTTTTCTTACCACTGGGCCAGAACAAGAAAAAATGCCTTGGTGAGCCATCTCCTGAGCTTTTGGCTATCCTTTTTAAGGTAAGAAGATGAGGTTGGGAATGTGGCTTAGTGGGAAAGTGCTTGCCTTGCATGCATGAAGCCCTGGGTTCGATTCCTCAGTGCAGCATACACAGAAATAGCTGGAAGTGGCGCTGTGGCTCAAGTGATTGAGTGCTAGCCTTGAGCAAAAGAAGCCCAGGGACAGTGCCCAACCCCCAGAACTTGCAAACAAACAAACAAAAACAAGATTAAAAAATGACTTCAGCACCTGTAATCCTAGATACTCAGGAAGCTGAGATCTGAGGATTGAGGTTCAGAGCGAGTCCAGAATAGTCCATGAAACATTTAGCCAGTTAACCTCCAGAACATCAGAAAACCAGAAGTGGAACTCTGGCTTAAAGTGGTAGAGCATTAGTTTTGAGCACAAAAGCTCAGGGACAGCGTTCATACCCTGAGTTCGAGCCCCACAACCAGTGTGGTTGTAAAGTAACTGCAGCAGGAAATATCTCAGAATAAGAGCACAGATACAACGTGTTATGCGGGCGGGGGCTCGGTACCCAGCTTGAGAGACAGTGGTTAAATACTGAGTAACTTGTTGGTCTTGTTAATGGAGGGCCATGGAAACTGTACAGCATGGTGGACTGAAGGATCCTTCACATCCATCCCAGGGGACTACTCGGAGGCAAGGAGGCACAGGAGAAAGATTATTACAAAGTTTATTAGAGGAGCCATAGTTCCCCCAAAAGGGAGCACATGGCATCTGGCCCTATCCAGTTAGCAGGAGGGTCTTGGGGGGAAGAGGCAGTGTAGGAAGTGAGGTGGGAGCTCAGGTGGATCTGGGCGGAGAGAGGGAGGGGCCAGCTGTATGGGGAACTCCAGGGCTGGGAGGAGCTCAGGTCTGGGTGGAGCTGAGGACCCAAGGTGGGCGTGATGCTTACACTTCCTCCTTTGTTGTTTAATAAAAATAGGGGTACCAGGCAGGGGTGGGATGGGTATGGGTGGAGGTCATTTCCTGCTGTAAAGGGGCGAGGTAGTCAGGGGTCCCTGCTTCGTTGCTTGGCTGGGTACCGTCCACGAAGCATCTGCTTGACAGTTTGGTGGTAAATGTCCTCCTTCTTCCTTGACCATAGTCATCTAAAATGCAAGACACAGTAAAAGGCAAAAATTGCTGTTAGTACCCCAAGAAAGGAATAAACCATGGAGGAATTGATTCCCAGAAGGGGCTATCACAGACCTGAAATTGCCTTTTCTGTCTCGGATTGGAGACATACCTGATTCCCGGCATCCTGGAGGAGGGGGGAGTAAGACTTTTCCTGCTTTAGGATCACAGTAACCTGAGGAGGAGGTAGCAGAGATATTTAAAGGTACCAGAGCCATGGACTCTTTTGGCTACTTCCTGCTGGCCTGGGGACATCAAGGAATCCCTGGAGCTGAGGTCTTTAGGGTCCGGGTCTGCGCTGGGCAAGGCAGGGCAGTGTAAGTGATGTCCCCGGTTGCCTGTAGGAACAGGATGGCCTTGACTTGTTCCCAGGTGGTGTCCTGGGCGGGGGATGTTAACCTGTTAAAAGAGACTTTTGGAAAGGTCAGGCAAGAAGCTGACAAGGTGATAAGGTCAGTTAACATGAATGACATAGAAGAACACACCTTGGCCATGGGCCAGGAAAGTTCCATTTGGAGCATAAGCCCAATTGTGGCCCAGTACAGGGAAGGAGGAATAACTGGACTCAGGGCAGGAAGGGGGTGTCTAGGGTCTTTTGGCAACTGGGTAGGGGACTGGTTGGGACTCAGGGCAGGAAGAGGGTGTCTAGGGTCTTTCAGCAACTGGGTAGGGGACTGGTTGGGAGTACCAGTCAGAGGCTGTAAGCATTGTGCCCACCTTGGGTCCTCAGTTCCACCCAGATCTGAGCTCCTCCCAGCCCTGGAGATCCAAGGTACAGCTGGCCCTTCTCTCTCTTTGTTCAGACTCCCATCTACCTGACTTCCTACCCCCAGATCCTGCTGCTACCTAGATAGTGGAGAGTGCCATGTGCTCCCTCTCTGGGGGAAAACATGGCTTCTCTAATAAACCTTGTAATAATCTTTCTCCTGTGCCTGCCTGCCTCTGCATGGTCCCCTGGGATGGCTGTGAAGGATCCTTTCAGAGGCTACTGTAAATACAAGTAGTAACAAAGGCAAGACTGTTAACTTTCTGTCCAGTTAGAAGGTAGGCAGGTATGGACATTAGGTGGGCAAGCAACTATTTCTCTTGCTCTCCCAGCTCTGATTAATTTTGAAAGGACGAGTGTAAAGTGACTCCATTTAGGATGTCATCTCTGAAGTACCGCGTTTTCGGATGCCCCCTCACAGACCACCAGAGATCACGATCAATGCAAACAGCAAAGAGTCGTTTATTGCAAGCTCAAGCTTGGTCCTCTGCGCACTCGGCAACTAGTGATGCTAAGAGGCCCCGAGCATAGAATCAGCACCGTTTTTACAGTATTGAACAAACAACTTTAAGGAAGTTTTACATAAGAAATTACATGATTGGTTAACATTTAGAGCAAGCTAAGGTGGGCAAATATGATTGGTTGACCTCTACATGAAAAATATCCTTGGTCCATAGCTTGACCACAAACGGTTACGAGTCACACCTGGACCAACAGTATGCATGGCATGTTTCGCCCTAGGCTCTGAAGAACCAGTTGGTCGGAACATTATATGGTCGGAACATTATATGGTTTTAACTGTAACTCTTAGCCCTAGGTCACTCAGGGGCAAAGTCACTTGGGGGCAAACATCTGCCTTAAGCAGACGCCATCTATGGCTCCAAGAATTGTTTGTGCATAGCTTTCTGTCATAAATTCCTAGCATTGGGGCTAAAGTGGGCCATGAGTTAAGTTGCAGAACTGAGATGGAGTCTTAAGTAAAATGGAGTTGCTTAGGTTTCTCAATCTCCTCTTACTCCTCTCCATGGTTTTCCATTGTCAGGACTGACTTTGTCCTGGTGGGGGGGGGGGGAAGGGAGGTTCAGTGTCCATTGCTGGGATAGCTTGTCCCAGTTGGCATTTACTGGGTTTGGACTCAAGGCCTGGGCACAGTCCCTGAGCACTTCTGCTCGAGGCTAGTGCTCTACCACTATTTTATTTTATTATTAGAGTCACAATGCCACTTTCAGCCTTCGGCTGGATACTTAGAGGTGAGAGTCTTTTTTTTTTTTTTTTTTTTTGTCGGTCGTGGGGCTTGAACTCTGGGCCTGGGCGCTGTCCCTCAGCTCTTCAGCTTAAGGCGAGCGCTCTACCACTTGAGCTACAGCGCCACTTCCGGTTTTCTGGTGGTTTATTGGAGATAGGAGTCTCACGGTCTTTCCTGCCCGGGCTGGCTTTGAACCGCGATCCTCAGATCTCAGCCTCCTGAGTAGCTAGGATTACAGGCGTGAGCCACCAGCGCCCGGCTAGAGGTGAGAGTCTTAAGTCGTGCCTCCAGCCTGGCTGTCTGCTGATTAGCTGGGAGATGGAGTTTTAGAGGGATTCTTTGTGCCCAGGATGGCTTTGAACTGTGGCAAAAGCAGTCTTTGTCACAAAAGCCCTTTTTATTTCCAATTAAAGCAACAAGGAGATCAGTGAGATAGAGGTTCCCTATAACTCACTAACAATTGACTGACAATTTCTTGCCAGAGTTTTGTAATAAAACCCAGTAGATGTTTTTAAACTACAACTGATTGGCACTCTAAGTACTACTGCCCATTGCCTCTGGGCAGCCTGTTTAAAGTGGTTTACATACAACATTTAACTTTTAACAAATGTACAGACCTTTTCTTGGGCTACAGTACCATAGTCTGTTTAACACTTGGTTTGGGTAAAGTGGAGGACCAAAGGGAGGGCATAATGCTTACACTAGAAGACTTTCAGCTACATGGAGACTGTGTAAGGAAGATCTGGAGACAGGAAAGTAGCAAGAAGGCCTTGAGAAGTTTATAAAGTTGGACTTCTCCTGTGGGCAGGAGGAGTTGGAGGAGAAGGCCAGCATTATCTGTCATTTTCTTCTTGTTAACTGTTAGGATCCATCACAACCATCCCAGGGGACCACATGGAGGCAGGCAGGCACAGGGGGACATTTATTATAAGGTTTATAAGAGGGGCTATATCTCCCCTGGGAGAAGGAGCAACATGGCATCTGTCCCTATCCAGATGGGTAGTTCTGGGGGTAGTTGGCAAGGTTGGTGCTGCCGTAGGCTTGGGCGGAGAATGGGAGTGACCAGCTATATGGTAGGAACTCTAGGGAGGGAGGAGCTCAGGTCTGGGTGGAGCTGAGACCAGCCAAGGTAGGGATAATGCTAGCATTAACGATTGAAGCAGGCTGATTACAGGGGCACTGGGAAAGGTTGAGGAGACTGTCACTCTGTATTGAGATGAGAGCTTCCCAGCTTCCATACCAAATCATGGATCCCTACGATCCACTCATGAAAAGCATTGCAGGTGTCTCTGAAGGAGACAAACCTCGTGACAGTCCTTAGTAAAGATGTATTTTAGTATAACAGGAGAAGATAGACATCAAAAAGGAGAGACATTTCCTGCTCCCTACCCAGAAAATGGAAGCTAAAGACTCAAACTGGGAGAATACACTTGTGGTCAGGCCATCTAACCCTCAGACAATGGTTTCAGGGGGTAAGGTGGGACAGCCCCACTCAAAGCTCAGGTGACTGACCTTTCTTTACTTCCTTTTGCCAGATTTGGCTTTCATTCTTTCTTTTTACTCTTTTGAAGGAGACTTTTAAGTTGTGTGTGTGTATGTGTGTGTGTGTATACGCACATGCACGTGCATACATGCATGCGTACAAGTACAGGGGCTTGAACTCAGGGCCTGGGTACTTTTCCTTAGTTTTTGCTGCTCAAGCCTGGTGCTGCAGCTCCATTCCTAGAAATTTTTGTTTCCTGTTTAATTGAAGATAAGAGTCTCATGGACTTTTCTTGCCAAAGCTTGGTTTGGCAAATCTCAAATGTCAACCAGCTTCATCTTCTTTCTCTCTCTCTCTTTCTTTCTTTCTTTCTTTCCTTCTTCCTTTCTTCCTTCCTTCCTTTTTCTTTCCTTTCTTTCCTTCTTTCCTTCTTTCTTTCTTTCTACCTTTCTTTTTTGTCAGTTTTTTTGTCAGTCGTGGGGCTTGAACTCTGTGCCTGGGCACTGTCCTTCAGCTCTTCAGCTCAAAGCTAGTGCTCTACCACTTTGAGCCGCAGTGCCACTGCCAGTTTTCTAGTGGTTAATTGGAGATGAGTGGTAGGGTAAATTCAACTTTGCCAGACATCCAGGTACAGAGAACAAAGAAAGGTTTATTGCCAGGAAAGGGTCTGACAAGACCCCTACTCACAAGGGAGAAGTGAGAAGAAGCACCAGCTATTGTCGGAGGTGACCTATATAACCTAGGAGGTTTAGGAGGGGCTAGAAGAGGCTCAGAGGCAGAGACCCTGGTGTGGATTTGAGGGCCAGGGGCTTCATCATGGCAGACTAAGATTTATGGTTCCTGTCCAAATAATAGATAAAAGGGGCCCTGCAGCTGCCCAGACCTGAAGCTCACTCTAAGGGGCTCTTGTTACCTTCTATGATGGTAGCTGCCCCAGAGAAGTGCTATCCCAAGGTAATGGGGGTTGGAGGCTGATTCTTTATTGCCTTTACTACATGGGACTAGTGTTGCCTAGGAAGGGAGCATGCTAAGCTGTGGAAAGGGGAAGGAGTGGACTAAGCTATGGGAAGGGAAGTCATTTCACTAACAATAATAGTCTCCTGCCTGGGCTGGCTTTGAACTGTGATCCTCAGATCTCAGCCTCCTGAGTAGCTAGGATTATAGGCATGAGCCACTGGCACCCTGCTCATTCTTTCTTCTTACTGAGAGTCCTTTCTCCAGTAGTTTTGAACTATTGCTATATTATTTAGGTCAAAACAGGGAAAGTAGATGTCTCCTCTATTGTTTCAAGTAGGAGAGGAAGATAGAGTGGTAGGTACTCATGTGGTAAAGCACCTGCTTTGTTTTTGTTTTGTTTTGTTTTGTCAGTCATAGGCTTGAACTCTGGGCTTGGGTGCTATCCCTCAGCTCTTCAGCTCAAGGTGAGTGCTGTACTGCTTAAGCCACAGCGCCACATCTGGTAAAGCACCTGCTTAGCAAGTACCAGGCCCTAAATGAACTCATGTACCACTCAAACACATAAGCGTGCATACACACATGTGTGCATGCACATGTACACACACATACACACACAGAAAGTTTAATCTGTGTTTTGGTATATTTAGGATATGGGTGAAGCCATCGTGGCTACCAATATTGACAGCAACAACAGTTTTTACTCTGATGGACTAAATGATGGACAGAAAATCTGGGAAACATGTCCACAGGATTTGCTGCTTGAGGAAAACCAAGCCTGTGAGTTAGACAGACCTCCATATTCCTGGAGCTGGGAATCTAAACCCATGCAATCTCAACATCAGAATTTCCTCGACCAGTTGTCCACTCTTCTAAGTGACAGCATTGGCCCCATACCCGCCACAGAGGAAGCTGTGAAAGAGAGGATCCAGGAAATTGGTGCAAGTGAACAGTCATGGAAATCTGTAAGTATAGCTGTGAGAAATTTTCTTTCCAATGAGGTTCTTTTTTTTTTTTGGCGGGGGTCAGGTGTTGGGGCCTGAACTCTGGGCCTGGGCGCTGTCCCTCAGCTCTTCAGCTCAAGGCTAGCGCTCTACCACTTGAGCCACAGCACCACCTTGGCTTTTTTCTTTTTGCTTATGTGGTGCTGAGGAATTGAACCCAGGGCCTCATGCATGCAAGGCAAGTGCTCTACCACTGAGCCACCTTCCCAGCCCATCCAATGCAATTCTTTTGAGAAGTGCCAGCTCAGTAAACTTTGTGGTTGTGAATTGTGATTTTGGTTATCCTTCCATTACTACAGTGATGGAAGAGAATAGGTAGGTTGACTTTACCATATTGGAGGAGATATAGCATGGAGCCCTGCCGTTATTGAATCCCAGCTCTGTGATTGGCCAGCTGTGTGCTCTTGCACAGGTTACTCACCCTCTCTTGTGCCTCAGTTTCATTTTTAAAATAAGGTGAAGGGGTGTGGTTACTACCTGACAGCATAGTTGCAAGGATGAAACATGTTAATACTTGATGAATGCTTAGATCAGTTGAGAATAATTCAATATATTAACTTAAAAAATATTTGTTGTGGGGCTGGGAAGTTGGCCCAGTGGTAGAGTGCTTGCCTCACATGCATGAGGCCCTGGGTTCCATTCCTCAGCACCACATAAACAGAAAAAAGCCAGAAGTGGCAGCTGTGGCTCAAGTGGTAGAGTGCTAGCCTTGAGCTGAAGAGCTGAGGGACAGCACCAGGCCCAGAGTTCAGCCCCCATGACTGACAACATATATATATATGTATATGTATATGTATATGTATATGTATATGTATATGTATATGTATATGTATATATGTGTTGTGTTGCAGCATATGCCTATAATCCCAGCACTGGAAAGTTCTTGCTAGCCTGGGCTGCATAATGAGACTCTGTCTCAAACAATTCCCTCTCATATATATATATATATATATATATATATATATATATATATATATATACTGGTAGAGTCATTGAATGCAGTGAAACAAAAACTGTCAATGCTCGTGATGTAGCTCAGGGGTAAAGTGCTTGTCTAGCATGTCCAAGGTTTTATCTGAACATTAAAAAAATAATTTTTCAGTACTAAAATATCTTATTCTTGTTCATAGCTTTCTATTTCTTTTCTTTTAAAAATTGTGCCAGGGCTGGGAAGGTGACTCAGTGGTAGAGTGCATGCCTTGTAAGCATGAGGCCCTGGGTTCAATTCCTCAGCACCACATAAGCAGAAAAAGCTGGAAGTGGCGCTGTGGCTCAAGTGGTAGAGTGCTAGCCTTGAGCTGAAGAGCTGAGGGACAGCACCCAGGCCCAGAGTTCAGGTCCTCGACCCGACCCCCCAAAAAAAATTAAAATTGTGCCAGACTAGGGCTTGTACCCAGGGCCAGTGCACAGTCCCTTTGCTTTTTCCCTCAAGGCTGGTGCTATACCACTTGAGCCATACTTCCACTCCTGGTTCTTTGCTGGTTAATTGGAGAAAAAGAGTCTCATAGGCTTTCTTGCCCAAACTGGCTTTGAGGCATAATCCTCAGATCTCAGCCTCCCTGAGTAGCTGGAAATGTAGGCATGGGCCACCAGTGTCTTAATCTACTAAAAATGTCAAATCTCTTAAAAAGTTTTTCCTCCGCACCAATTTCAGTAACTTATTGTCAGCATGATGTCAGTATAAATACAAATTTGCGCATTGGTTAAGTGATGCAGAAAGCATAGTGCATCAGGAAGCTTTTGTACTTATTCTTACAGAGAACAGAAGACCTGCATCGGGAAATTCAGACACTGAGTAAACGTGTAGAGAAGCTGCAGCATGTTTATGAAGAATCAGCTGAGCAATCCCTAGCAATGGAAGAAAATGATAAAGATCACAAAAGGCTCTTACAATATCAGGAAGGAAACATAGCTGTCAATGACTTTTCTCAAGGGAGCTTAGACTTGGATGGGAAGAAAGCAAGAATTCCCTCAAATGTAAGCATTTCTTTGAGTATGAAAATGATTTTATGCTTTACATCATTTATACTGCCTATGTTTTTCTTTTTCTTTCTTTTTTGTTGGTTGAAGAGCTTGAACTCTGGGCCTGGTTACTGTCCCTCAGCTCTTCAGCTCAAGGTGAGTGCTCTACCACTTGAGCCACAGTGCCCACTTCCATCGTTTTCTGTGTATGTGGTGCTGGGGAATCGAACCCAGGCCTTATGCATGCAAGGCAAGTTCTCTACCACTGAGCCACCTTCCCAGCCCGTTTTGCTTAATTACTAGAAAGTATTTGCTACAGATCCTGTGTTTTTTATTTTTATTTTATTTTATTTATTTATTTATTTTTGTTGGTCATGGAGCTTGAACTCTGGGCCTGGGTGATGTCCCTCACCTCTTCAGCTCAAGGCTCTACCGCTTGAGCCACAGTGCCACTTCTGGTTTTCTGGTGGTTTATTGGAGATGAGTCTCACTGACTTTCCTGCCCAGGCTGGCTTTGAACTGTAATTCTCAGATCTCAGCCTCCTGAATAGCTAGGATTATAGGCATGAGCCACTAGCCCCCAGCAGCATAATTTATATTTATTAGGAGAGCATCTGTTGGTGAGATCTTATTTTTCGTAGATTTGGGGGTCTGTTTTTTATTTGTTTGTTTTGCCAATCGTGGAGCTTGAACTCTGGGCCTGGGTGCTGTCCCTCAGCTCTTCAGCTCAAGGCTAGCACTTGAGCCACAGCGCCACTTCTGGGTTGTCTGTGTATGTGGTACTGAGGAATCAAACCCAGGGCTTCATGCATGCGAGGCAAGCACTCTACCACTAAGCCGCATTCCCAGCCACTTTGGATTTGGCAAAATAGTTCAGGCTGGTCTTAAACTTTAGATCTTCCTGCTTCACACTCCCAAGTGTGAAGATTAGAAAGAAATGAACTGAAAGAAATGGCTCTGTAGTGGATGACTTTCAGGCAGTCTGACTGCAACAGTGATGATATTCCTGAGTAATTACTATATAAAAAAAATTTTTTTTGGGGGGGGGTTGGTCGTAGGGCTTGTACTCTGGGCCTGGGCGCTGTCCTTGAGCTCTTCAGCTCAAGGCTAGTGCTCTACCACTTGAGCCACAGTGCCACCTCCGGCTTTTTTCTTTTTGCTTATGTGGTGCTGAGGAATCGAACCCAGGGCCTCAGGCATGCAACGCAAGCACTCTACCACTGACCCACCTTCCCAGCCCAGTCTTCCTCTTTTTTTTTTTTTTTTTTTCAGTCATGAGGCTTAAACTCTGGGCCTGAACGCTGCCCCTAAGCTTTTCAGCTCAAAGTGAGCAGTCTACCATTTGAGCCACTGTGCCATTTCCAGTTTTCTAGTGGCTTATTGGAGATAAGAGTCTCACAGACTTTCCTGCCCAGGCTAGCTTTGAACTGTGATCCTTGGATCTCAGCCTCCTGAGTAGCTAGGATTACAGGCGTGAGCCACTGATGCCTGGTGCACGTTCTCTCTCTCTCTCTTTCTCTCTCTCTCTTTCTTATTTTGCTGGAACACATCCTCTAATAGCTTCCTAAGAAATTATGTCTTGGATAGATATTTTTCTTTGAGTCCTTGTATAAATGAGAGATATTTACTTTCTTAATATTCAGTTGATGGTTAGGTGTAGACTTTATTTTCACACATTTAACACGTTACTTTTTGTTATGTGTATACTAGTTCTGGTGCTTGAATTCAAGGCTTGAGCACTGCTTCTGAGCTTTTTTGCTGTTTTCTCATAATATGTATTTTTTATATAATCTCTGGTGAATGCTTATTTTATCATAAAAAATTTTTGACATTTATATTGCCTTTTGCATATTATGAATAATGGTCTAAAGAATATCTGTGTTCAGGGCTGGGAAGGTGGATCAGTGGTAGAGTTCTTGCCTTGCATGTATGAAGTGCCCTGGGTTCGATTCCTCAGTACCACGTAAGCAGAAAAAGCCGGGAGTGGCACTGTGGCTCACATGGTAGAGTGCTAGCCTTGAGCTGAAGAGCTGAGTGACAGCGCCCAGGCCTAGATTCAAGCCCTATGACTAACAACATCAAAAAAAATCCATATGCTTATTTCTTTATAATACATTGTAGAAAAGATGAAATGATTTGTTATTTTTTAGTATTTATAAAATGTATACCACTAATTTGTCATTTTATTGGCATATTCTTATTATTTTAATATTCATTTGTGGTGAAAATATTCTATTTAGGTATTTATTAAATCTGCACTTCATTAGTCTAGAATAGATGTGGTATTATGGTGGTATAGTACAACAAATTTTTTTTTTTGTCGGTCATGGGGGCTGAACTCTGGGCCTGGGCGCTGTCCCTCAGCTCTTCAGCTCATGGCTAGTGCTCTACCACTTGAGCCACAACACCACTTCCGGCTTTTCTCTGCTTATGTGGTTCTGAGGAATCGAACCCAGGGCCTCATGCATGCGAGGCAAGCACTCTACCACTAAGCCAACTTCCCAGCCCTAGTACAACAATTTAAAGCACATTTTTCCCAATACTTTTTATTTCTATAAAGGAAAATCTCAAGACTCAAAACTCACAGATAAATGAGCATAAGCAGTTAAAAGAGTTAGAAATGTTATTGGATATTCGGCAGAATTTGCAGATGGATACAGTGCCAAGAATGGAGGAGAAAATTCAGAAACTTCAGAAACAGCTCAGTGATTTGAAATTGTCAAATAAAAATATGAAAACTCAACTGACAAGAGTAAATGTCCTTAAAGTAAGTAAAAGAAGTAAGACTTCCAAAATCCACTTAAGCTTTGGCCCATGCCTATTTTAGGTGCATCTCTAAATAAGTTTTTATGTATGTATGTATGCATGTATTTGGTGTGGTGCTAGGGCTAGAACTCAGGAACCGGGCACTAGCTCTTAGCTTTTTCTGCCCAAGTTTAGTGCTCTACCACTTAAGTTACAGATCTTCCAGCTTTTTAGTGGTTAATTGGAGAGAGGAGTCTCATAGACTTTCATGCCTGGGGTTGGCTTTGGGCCAGGTCTCAGACTCCTGAAATAGCTAGGACTATAGATTTGAGCCTCCGCCAGTGTCCAGCTATACATGAACTTTGTGTGTGTATGTGTGTGTGTGTGTGTGTGTGTGTGTGTGTGTGTATGCGCTGGTTCTGAGATTTTAACACAGGGCCTGGTGGCTGTCCCTGAGCTTTTTTACTCAAGACTAGTGCTCTACCACTTGAGCCACAAATCTACGTCCAGCTTTTTGTTGGTTAATTAGGCTTTTCCTGCCAGGCTAGCTTTGAACCAGGAAATGTAGACCTCAGCCTGAGTAGGTAGGGCTACAGGTGTGAGCGCCCGGCTCTACACGAGTTTAAAAAAATTAAAATGAAGCTGGGCGTTGGTGGCTCATGCCTATAATCCTAGCTACTCAGGAGGCTGAGATCTGAGAATCGTGTTCAAAGCCAGCTTGGGCAGGAAAGTCTGTGAGATTTATCTCCAATAAACCACTAGAAAACCGGAAGTGGCATTGTAGTTCAATCGGTAGAGTGCTGGTCTTGAGCTTAAGAGCTCAGGGACAGTGCCCAAGCCCAGAGGTCAAGCCCCACGACCAACCAAAAAAAAAAAAAAAAAGATTCTGCAAACTGGGTACTTGTGTGGCTCAAGTAGTAGAGTACCAACCTTGAGAAAATCTGCTAAGGAAGAACTCAGAAAGAGGCCCTGAGTTCAAGCCCCAGTACCCATACAAAAAGAAAAAGGTCTTGTCTTTTTAAAAATTCCTCTTTGGAACTTGTAGCTTTGGTTGTTTATTTCAAAAGTAAGTTGAGCCTTCAACCAAATATGCACTAAATTATTTATCAACATTCTAGTTTCTTAACAATATTTCTTTTTTTTTTTTTTTTGGTTCCAGTCGTGGGGCCTGAACTCTGTCCTTCAGCTCAAGGCTAGCGCTCTACCACTAGAGCCACAGCACCACTTCCAGCTTTTTTCTTTTTGCCTATGTGGTGCTGAGGAATCAAACCCAGGGCCTCATGCATGCAAGGCAAGCGCTCTACCACTGAGCCACCTTCCCAGCCCTATCTTAACAGTATTTCTTTAGAACCAATTGTTTTCTCTCTTCCTGTATTTGGCTAGTATAAATTGTAAGGTTTTTATTTATTTATTTTTTGGTCGTGGGGCTTGAACTCTGGGCCTGGGTGCTGTCCCTCAGCTCTTCAGCTCAAGGCCAGCACTCTATCACTTCAGCCACAGTGCCTCTTCCGGTTTTCTAGTGGTTTATTGGAGATAAGAGTCTCACAGACTTTCCTGCCCGGGCTGGCTTTGAACCATGATCCTCAGATCTCAGCCTCCTAAGTAGCTAAGATTACACACGTGAGCCACTGGCACTGGGCAAATTGTAAGATCTTTGAGGACGTACAATATATGTGAAACTATGTAAAGCCCACAAACCAAGTTGACAAAAATGCTAAGTAAGCCAGGCACTTGTGGTTCACACCTGTAATACTAGCTATTCAGGAGCCTAAGAGCCTAGGATCACAGTTCAAAGTCAGCCTGAGCAGGAAAGTCTGTGAGACTCTTATCTCTAATTAACTGCCAGAGAGACTGGGAAGGTGTCTCAGTGGTAGAGTGCTTGCCTTGCATGCATGGGTTTGATTCCTCAGCACCACATAGGCAGAAATAGCCAGAAGTGGCGCTGTGGCTCAAGTGGTAGAGCTCTAGCCTTGAGCTGAAGAGCTGAGGGACAGTGCCCAGGCTCAGAGTTCAGGCCCCACAACCGACCAAAATCAAAAGCAAAAACAAATAATCAACCACTAGAAAACCAGAAGGGGTGTTGTGGCTTAAAGTAGCAGAGTGCTAGCCTTGAGCAAAAAGAGCTCAGGGACAGTGCCCAGGCAGTTCAAGCCTCATGACCCACCAAAAAGAAAAAAGAAGCTAATTAAATGTTGGTTATTAATGAACCTGAGGGTACAAACATGTCCTTAATTCAGAAACTGTGGGAGTTTAAAAATTTCAATATATCTTTTCAGAATTAAAGGTGTAGGGTGGGTGGAAGCATGAGTTGTATCTGTTATTTATCAGTGATCAAATCAACGTCTTCTTTTGACCTACCTTTTACCCTCTCCCAGGACAAAACAATTGAAAAGCTCAGACAATCATTAACAAAAGTTGAAATGACAAAGGAGAAACCAGCTATGACAGCAGACAATTTGAAAGCAACATTAGTTTCTGCAGAGCAAGAGTTGAAATCAGACTCTGAGGGCGCCCCTCAGCTGCTGTGTGGGGTGGCTCCTGAGCTCCCCGCAGCTAAGAGTACACCTGAAGAAGTATCAGGGCGAGAACAAGAGGTATTTTTTTTCTAATTACTGTATTAAATTAACTGAAGTGATAAACACTCACCTCAACTTAAATTAACTAACTGAAAAAATTTAGAGAATTTCTTGGTTCATAGCATCCAACCTAAGTTAAACTACCTACCTTTGGAAGGGCACCTAGACCCTCAAAGGACCTTTCTTCTTGGCATATGTGCCACAGCTTATGCATGACTAACTGAGAGCTAATTTTCTCTGTAGAACATGAATCACGGACACTGACAACTATAGAGTTTGATGGTTTCTGTGCCATGAGAGAGAATCTCAAGGAAAGGGCTTTACTAGACAAGTTTAGGTCAAGTGCTTTCCTCTGTGAATCCTTACTGGCTGAGGATGAGATTTTAGTTTAGCTTAGGTTTCTATGCATATCCTCTGACTAATCAGTAGGGTAAGGTTTTGTGAAAGAATACAAGCTTTGAGAAAATCATGGGTGTGGTTATTTTCTGTCACACTCTAAAATGGGACAGTGCTTCTAAACATGCTTAGGTTTTCCCTGTACTTATAAAGCAAATGTCCTTCCCCTCCTCCCTCTTCCTCTCCCTCCCCACTCCTTCCTCCTTCCTCTGCTTCCATTTCCCAGCAGTGCAGGAAATCCTTTTAGTTGCCTTAATCTTCAGGTGAAGGCTGGGTTTACTTACTAGGTTTCTTTACCCAATATTGCCCCCTTCTGTTGGTACAGTGAAGGCAGCTTCTAAAGTCTCAAAGAGCCTTTTCCTTTGGGGGAAAGGATGGGTGATGTCTGATTCTGCAATTCTCTCCTGTTTGTTCAAGTCCCTTAATTCCCATGGTTTGCCATTTCCCTTTCCCTTACTCCCAAGCCTCTAAGGAACACCTCAAATCCCAAGTACTCTGCAACCTCCCCTCAGAAACCTTGCCCTCGTGGGCTGGGAAGATGGCTCAGTGGTAGAGCGCTTGTCTTGCATGCCTGAGGCCCTGGGTTCGATTCCCCAGCACCACATAAGCAAAAAGAAAAAAAGCCGGAAGTGGCACTGTGGCTCAAGTGGTAGAGCCCTAGCCTTGAGCTGAAGAGCTGAGGGACAGCGCCCAGGCCCAGAGTTCAGGCCCCACGACTGGACCTAAAAAAACAAAAACAAAACAGAAACCTTGCCCTCAGGAACTGCCATCTCTGATCTCTATGCTTCCAAGCTTCTTTCTTGTTCTTTTCCACTTGCCAGCATTCTGATCTGCCCTGTCTCAGACTGTTCACAGTATTTCTCCACTTGTGAACTGCTTTTTTGGGGGGGGGATTGGAGGGGGTGTCAGTCATGGGCTTGAACTCTGGCCTGGGCGCTGTCCTTCAGCTCTTCAGTTCAAGGGGAGCTACCACTTGAGCCACCAGGCCACGTCTGGTTTTCTGGTAGTTTACTGGAGATAAGAGTTTCACAGACTTTCCTGCCTGGGCTGGCTTTGAACCATGATCCTCAGATCTCAGCCTCCTGAGTAGCTAGGGTTATGGGCATGAGCCACTATACCTGGCTGTGAAGTGGTCTGTGTTCCAGACAAGAGGATGCAGGACACACTCTTCCCTACAGCTGTCTGTACAGCATTAGGATATTTATTTCCCCCCACTCCTATGCAAATCGAAGGTTGAGATATTCTCTACATATGTTACTTATTTATTGTGCCAGTACTATAGAACTTGAGCTTAGGATCTCCTGCTCTGGCTTAATTTTTTTTTACCCAAGGCTGGTGTTCTGCCACTTAAGCCACAGCTCAACTTCCAGCTTTTTGGTGGTTCACTGGAAATGAGAGTCTCCTGGACTTTTCTGCCTGGGCTGGTTTTGAACCTTGATTCTCAAATCTCAACCTCTGCAGTACAGGCCTGAGCCACCAGCACCAGTTGATCAGTATGACTTTAATAAGTATCTCTGGATAGTCATTGTTATAAAACAAAGCATAAATTCAAAGAGACAAGTCTTAGCCACTGGGCTTTGTGTCATATGTAAAGTTCCAACACCTTGGGAGTCTGAGGTGGGAAGACCACCTAAGAACAGAAGATGGAAGTTGAAGAAGAGCCTTAGCAGCATAGTGATACCCATTTAAACAAACAAAAAAAGATAGCTAGGCGCCAGTGGCATTTCTATAGTCATAGATACTCACACTCTTACTCCAATTAACCAGCAATTAAAAGCCAGAAGTAGAACCATAGCTCAAGTGGTCAAGTGGTAGACTTGCCAGCCTTGAGAAAAAAGCAAAGGGATCTTGCCAAGGTCCTAAGTTCAAACCCTAGTACTGTGTACACATGTGTGCACAGACGTGTATACACACACACAATACACACATACAAGGTAATTGCTTAGTGACTGGAAAATATTAAGCAATGTTATAATTAGGTTTAGTTGACAAAACATAAGCAAAATTATTAAAATGCAAATGAAATTTTAAAGAATTATTGTGATAAAGCAAGTCATTTTCTTAAGAATAGCATTTGAAGCGGCTGGGAAGGTGGCTCAGTGGTAGAGCGCTTGCCTTGCATGCATGAGGCCCTGGGTTCGATTTCTCAGCACCACATAAGCAAACAGAGAAAAGCTGGAAGTGGCGCTGTGGCTCAAGTGGTAGAGCGCTAGCCTTGAGCTGAAGAGCTGAGGGACAGCGCCACTTCCAGCTTTTCTCTGTTTGCTTATGTGGTGCTGAGGAATCGAACCCAGGGCCTCGAGCATGCAAGGCAAGCGCTCTACCACTGAGCCACCTTCCCAGCCCCCATAGCCCAGTATTTTTTATTCCAATTTCTTTCCCTTCCTCAAATCCCAGTTAAATAATTCAGCACTGAACTGGGGGCTAGTGTTTCACGCCTGTAATCCTAACCACTCAGGAGGCTGAGATCTGAGAATCATGGTTCAAAGCCAGCCCCGGAAAAAAAGTCTGTGAGATTCCAATAAACTGCTAGAAAACCAGAAGTAGCAATGTGGCTCAAAGTGGTACAGCTCTAGCCTTAAGGGACAGCACCAGGCCCTGCATTCAAGACCCACGACCAACCAAAAAAAAAAAAAAAAAGCAGCACTGGTAGCTCACACCTGCCATGCCTGTAATCCTAGCTACTTTGGAGGTTGAGATCTGAGGATCCTCGTTTGAAGCCAGCTCAGAAGCAGGAAAGTCCTGAGCTGCTGCACTTTCAGCCCCCCCCACCCCCACCGTCATGAGGCTTGAACTCTGGGCCTGGGCACTGTCCTTCAGCTCTTCAGCTCACGGTGAGTGCTCTACCACTTGAGCCACTTCCGGTTTTCTAGTGGTATATTGGAGATAGGAGTCTCAAGGTCTTTCCTGCCTGGGCTGGCTTTGAACTGAAATCCTCAGATCTCAACCTCCTGAGTAGCTAGGATTACAGGCGTGATCCGCTGGCGCCCAGTTAACGTTCAGCTTTTTCTTTGTGGTTAATTGAAGATAAGTCTTGGGGGTTTTCCTGCGCAGGCTGGCTTCAAACCGATATCATCAGATCTCAGCCTCCTGAGTAGCTAGGTTTATAGGTGTGAGCCATTGTTGCCTGACTTCCTGGGGCTTGAACTCTGGGCCTCAGTGCTGTCTTTGAGCTCATAAGCTCAAGGCTAGAGCCATAGAGCCACTTCTGGTTTTCTGATGGTTTATTGGAGATAATAGTGTCACAGCTTTTCCTGCCCTGGCTTTCTTTGAACCGTGATCTTCAGACCTCATTGAATAGGTAGGATTACAGGCGTAAGCCACCGGTGTCTGGCTTAATACAATTTGTGTGTATGAGTGTATGTGCCTGAGCTCTGCTTTTACCTCCCTTTAAGTTGATAGGATCTTATTTTGGAATCAATCTTCAAGTTAATATCTTTTCTTTGTAATTTTAGCATTCTTAGATCTTCTAAGCAGATCTATGAGAGGAAATGATTTAGAGAACTGTGTGAGGAGCTGGGAAGGTAGCTCAGTGGTTCAGTGCTTGCCTTGCATGCATGAGACCCTGGGTTCAATTCCTCAGAATAAGCAGAAAAGGCTGGAAGTGGCACTGTGGCTCAGGTGGTAGAACACTAGCCTTGAGCTGAAGAGTTGAGGGGACAGTGACCAGACCCAGAGTTCAGGCCCCATGACCGACAAAAAAAAAGAACTGTGAGTGAAAAAAAAAAAAAACCCGCTGCATTTTGCAGGGAAGGGTGTAGGAGGTAATTGAAGGAGAATGACCAGGAACATGGGAGTAGGAGTAGGTCAGACAGATTGAGTTAAGTATTTTGAATGCACTGTAAATGAGATTTTGAAATCAATATGCCATTTTGTTGGATCCATGAAGGACTGTTAAGGACATAGGCAAGGTGAGACGATAGAATTCTGCCATACTGGCCCCACTGTAGCAAATGAAAGTGCTGCTAATGTACAAGTTTCCCAGAATGTACTGAAAAAGACAAGGTTTTTATAATCTTGAAAAAAAAAAAGCTGGGCACAGTGGCTCATGCCTGTAATCCTAGCTACTCAGGAGGCCAAGATCTGAGGATCATGATTCAAAGTCAGCCTAGGTAGGAAAGTCCCTGAGACTCTTATCTCCAATAAACCACTCAGAAAACCAGAAGTAGCACAGTGGTTCAAGTGGTCGAGCGCCAGCCTTGAGCTGAATTGCTGAGGAACAGCGCCCAGAGTTCAAGCCCCACAACCAACACCACCAACAAATATGGGCTGGGAATGTGGCTTAGTGGTAAGTGCTTGCCTTGCATGCATGAAGCTCTAGGTTTGATTCCTTGGTGCCACATACACAGAAAAACCCAGAAGTGGCGCTGTGGCTCAAGTGGTAAAGTGCTAGTCATAAGCTGAAGAGCTGAGGGACAGTGGCCAGGCCCTAAGTTCAAGCCCAGGACTGGCAAGCAAAAAAAAAAGAAAGAAAGAAAGCCAGTTGCCAGTGGCTCATGCCTGTAATCCTAGCTACTCAGGAGACTGAAATCTGAATATTGCAGTTCAAAGCCAGACCAGGCAGGAAAGTCCCTGTGAGACTCTTATCTTCAATTACTCGAAAAATAAAAAAATAAAAGCCA